CGATAGTTCTCTCAGTTTCAGCGATTCCCAACCTTCCACCATCGACGCCTTCCTTTTACGTAGATCGATCTGTGCATAATCTCCGAACGACCAGAGCCATGACAGCGAGATTTATCGAACGAATTGGAAGGCGTTACATTTTTCTTATCGCCGAGTGGGAAAATATCACGAAACGGTTCGGAGCTTCCAATCCTGAGACTTTGTATTATATATCGCGCACGTTCGCGTATTTATTTTATTAATATCACCGTAAATCTGTTTTGGTATTCGTGCTGGCTCAATTGGACGAATTTTATCCTCCACGGGGAATAAATCATTAGATTTAGTCATCAATCTTTAGCAAAGATCGACGATAAATCAGGATCAATTAACTTCTACGTTCGAAATATATCCTGCAAAACGACAATTTTACTTTTTTCATCGATTGCAATAGTATTGTAATAGTAAATGTAAAATACTTTTGGTAAATAAATGTAGGATTTAATAAAGAGAATTTGGAACGAATGTACAAATAATATAATTAAAAAAAAGAGAATTTGGAACGAATGTACAAATAATATAATCAAATGAACGAATTTGAAACACCTAATCCAAGCACACAATCTTTTTGCACAAATTAAAATCACATTAATTGACAACACAAATTCTTTTCCAGTCACTCGTTTCTCTCTCGTTGCCTCGCTGTTCCTAGTAACCCCATCTTTTTTTTACACTTTCAACCCTTTTGCACGTAAGTTAACATTGAACATTGAACAAATCTACATAAATTATCTTCCCAAGGTTTCCGAGAGATTTCTGAGAGAAAAATCGAGAAGATCGATTGCAAAACACTTAGACGCGGGGAGAGCTGTTATTACGTGTAATCGAGTTTACTTTATTTTTCTAACCAGTCCATTAAATCGTTCGATAAATGACCATAGACTGTCGATCCTGAGAATCACTCGAAAGGGTCGTTAAAGGGAAAGTTAAAAGTAACAACGTGAAACAGGAGTGCAAGGATAGACGTGGCCGGATACTGTACTGGTTTTTAATAGAAAAGGTCCAGCGAGGATGAGTAATGGCGCGAACGATGGGGAAAACGAGGAAAAATAAATGAACGATGCAGATGAGCAAGAAAGCAGAACTGTTTTCTTCTGGTGAAAAGGGAACACTAGAAATTAATTAAATTCATAATGGAGGCCTTGACAAAGCGGAAAATTTGCAGCACGACACGCTGTAATAACTAGCATTTAGAAAAGAAACCTAATTTTCGAGAATGTTTAATATTTGTTAGAAGAATTCTAGAAAATTGCGTTAGCTTCCGAGTCTCGCCGCTAGAGGGCCACGCGCTCGAGTCTCTCTCTCGTAAGCGCTCGAGTGAAGCTTCTGTTTTCTAAAATTTCTGAAGTAACCAAGTTTCGAGAGATGAAAAACTGAATTTTAGAGAGTTTTTTAGTGTTTTTTGGTGCAATTTTGTATAGTATGAGCGAGGGAAAATGAGGAAAAATAAATGAACGATGCAGATGAGCAAGAAAGCAGAACTGTTTTCTTCTGGTGAAAAGGGAACACTAGAAATTAATTAAATTCATAATGGATGCCTTGACAAAGCGGAAAATTTGCAGCACGACACGCTGTAATAACTAGCATTCATAAAAGGAACCTAATTTTCGAGAATGTTTAATATTTGTTAGAAGAATTCTAGAAAATTGCGTTAGCTTCCGAGTCTCGCCGCTAGAGGGCCACGCGCTCGAGCCTCTCTCTCGCAAGCGCTCGAGTGAAGCTTCTGTTTCTTAAAATTTCTGAAGTAACCAAGTTTCGAGGGATGAAAAATTGAATTTTAGAGAGCTTTTAGTGTTTTTTGGTGCAATTTTGTAAAGTATGAGCGGATGAACTGCAATGCAGGGGATGTAAACGAGAGTGAGAGGTCGTCGATAAATGCGGTATGTGGGACGACGAGAAGTCTGAAAACCGGGTCAACCGATGCGAAAAATGGAGCAATAAGATACGAAAATAGGAAGCTTAACTGCATGCTTGAAATGACATACTGCATTCGTGTTAGCACATGGTTTTCCCCCAACTTTCGGGAAGTTTTTCGGGGAAACTATTAATAACGAACGACAACTTTGCAATGTTAAATCAAAGTCAGGGATGAAAAATGTATGAGCCTTGATGCTGTGCTCATAGAATCAGAGGACAGAGTATACTATTCAAATATTTGACGAGTATTCGAGCCCTGATAAAAGTCGAACAGGGACATTTCAATTTGTGTTTTGGAAAAGTCTTCTTTTCTGATTTTCTATGGTGTCTATTTATCTACTAGGTCTATGCAAGAGTTTTCCTTTTTTAATTTTCCCCCATTTGATATGACTTGTATCATTTTTTGCAAATGCTTTGGATTGACTATGTTGGACCTGCAAATTCGATGGTTTTCGATATCGAACGATAGTTTTCGAGTTAATATCGATTGAGTATCGAAGGTCCAAGCGAGGTTTCGAGATTTTTACTCGATGAAGGCTTGGAGGAGCTTGATAAGAGGCAAGAGCGAGGGAGAAGAAGGGAGGAGGAGGATCGTAGCAGCCTGTAGGACGCCAAGCCGCCAAAGAGTCTGGCAACGAGAGCAAACGGGCGCCGCGACGTCGCCCATTTTCGTCTATCTGGCGGTCTCGTACGTGTGGAAGCGGGAAAGAGGAAGAGGGTGGAGAGCACAGATACCGAAAGAGATGTAACTGTACGAGGCTGATGCTGCAAACGTGGCCAAACGCTACGAGGTCACCGTGTCGCAACAATCTCTATGCTATTTTTCGCTCGTTCGCCTTCCCTGTTGTCACTCGCTCCCACCTCTCTCGCGATCTTCAATTGCTATTCGCATTATCGCTAATAAACCATACGCCTACGAAACCAGAAACAAGGCCGTAGAATTTTGCCTCCAAAATGGGCATAAAATGAATTAAAATTCTTCTTCCTCAGTTGGGTCATCAATGACCTAACGTGGACTCATAATCTCGACTGAATTATTTTACTGTTGATTTTTACCAAATTTGTAAATGGAAATCAATTTTCCTTCAAAGCATCTAAAAGATAAAATAATAAATAAATTTTCGAATAATTACATTTACATTAACTGAATAATTATTAGTTTAAATTAATTAGTTTGCAGCAGCCCCAATAATCAATAATAAATAATAAATGTTGGAACACAGAATAATTCTATATTTCTAATATATATTTAAAAAGTTTAATAAAAATATATTTAAAAAGTTAAATAATTGTTCATGAATTGTTTAATATGATGAGTGTCGTAGCAAGGTGAATTTATCCTTGAAAAGTCGCAGTATGCACACGAGATAAGTTATCGAAATAAGAACTCTCATCGATTGCTATATCAGTCTCGGTATCGTTCTTTTATTCGAACGATCGAGAAGCGTTTGAAATCCGAAGTCTGGTCACGTGATGCAAATGTCCTCGCGTCTCCTCTTTGCATTACTGACGCAGCTCATTTTTGCCCGATCTGCCTACCGTAGCCGATTCTATCGCGAGCTGAAACTGTACACCGCTCTGATAAAGGGAGATCGAGACAGAGAAACCGAGAACGAAGTCAGGGGGCAAGGAGGAAAACTGTGCACGTGCCTGGAAATCGTTCCTGAACGATGATCACTGCCTCCAATCGTCTCTGATCTCCACCACTTATCGAAAACAGTGGCACCCTTATCTTTCTCCAAACTGATATTGTCACTGCACTTTCTTTTTCAACGCTGGAACTACCAAAGTTGTCAAAATGATACATAATTTCTAACAAAAATAGTAAACAAAGTTTCCTGCACAGTAAATGTCTGCAAACTGTGGTTTTGTATGAGAGAATTAATAAATATTTATCTCCATTGCATTGTATACATTGCGATTAGTGATTGTAATGTCAGTAAATCAGTGTATCAGTCGATAAGAATCAGCTTTACAGACTTACCGACAATTTGCTTCTTCTTTACCGGTAATTACATCGAAACATGTCGGTAAATCAGTGTATCAGTCGATAGGAATCAGCTTTACCGACTTACCGACACTTAGCTTCTTCTTTACCGGTAATTACATCGAAAAATGTCGGTAAATCAGTTTGTCAGCCGATAAGAATCAGCTTTGCAGACTTACCGACAATTCTTTTCTCCTTTACCGATAATTGAATCGAAGAATGTCGGTAAATCAGTGTGTCAGTCGATAAGAATCAGCTTTACCGGCTTACCGACACTTAGTTTCTTCTTTACCGGTAACTAAATCGAAAAATGTCGGTAAATTTAACGTCGATAACACATCTTTATAGAATAAATTAACTTTTGGCAATAGATCACGATGTTACACATATTCGAAGCGCAATTGATACAACGATTGAAAGAACGTAGAACGAACGACGTATGGCAGTGGTCCAACTTAGTGTGGATCGAAGCAATTAACACGGACACTGATCACGAAGGCAAAAGATCATTTCAACATCTTTGCACCTGCTCCGATACTAAACGCAAAAGCGTGGCAGAGGTCCAGAGAGCCACAATTAACAATATTTTCTAACACAATCGCTATACGATTGTACGCGTTTCAAGATTGGTTCGTCGGAGCTCGAGTTGCACAAAGGGAAATTCGCAATCACGCTCGACTATGGGATAAACTCGTTCAGAATTAAATAAGACTCGACTAGGACCGAAATCAAAGACATCTCTGGCAAATAGATCCGATTGAGGGGACACAGCGCCCCCAAGATTGCTCGCGTTCGATCCAGGGACCCTCCAAACGCATTGTTTCGAAGTCAATCTCCGTGGGAGTTAATCTATAGCGAACGAAATTTACGGACAATGCGTGGAAATTGCAAATAATCAACATCGGCGAGCTAAAAAATTTTTTCTGAAAATTAGATGTTCAAAAAAATTAATCTTGATTGGTCACTTAAAAGGGTATCTTCGTAGACAATTTGAGGGATTTGGTAGTCAAGGTGTTAATATTGGTAGTTTGTGGAATAAAATGGCAAGTGTACTCACTCTCCGACGTGTTCTCCGTTCCAACATCGTTTGTCGGGGTATTCCTCGCAGATCGTGGTGGCCAGGGTGCCGTAGAAGGACCGGGACCTGACGACACTGGCCAAGAAATAGCCCAGCTGCACGTGCAACTGCGTCGGTAATGTTCTGTGCGTGAGAGGAGGCGCAGCTGCGTGCATCTCGAGGCTGCCCGACGTCGATTTCTCCATTGCAGCTGCATCCGAAGCCGTAACGGTTCCACCGTTCGATGGCTGCAGCTCCGAACGACCGCACACTTTTCTCACCTGGAACACGTCCGTCACTTTTTCTATTATTATCTGCCCTAAAACCAGGGAAATTCATTAAACATCAATTATTATTTACACCACCATGGAGGCCTGATTATCAATACCAAATTATTATATTTCTTATTGTAATTTAATGAATTCTATTTAGAAAGGTAATTAATAATGTTTAATTATTAATTTTATTATTTAAAATCATTTATATTCGCTGAAAAAACTTCTCTTAGTCCGGGGGGAATCGAACTCGGGCCCTCCGGGTGGAAGTCTCTTACCTTACCACCACGACCCTTGGTGGTAATTGATACAAAAAGCATTCAAATTGTATTTCTACAGATTTGTTATGATTCTCTGTATTCTTAGGGACCTCTAATCAAATTTAAACATTCCGAAAATTGTATTGGGGTCGTAATCGATTAATCGTCGGGCAGGTGACGGTAATGCATTCGAAGGGAGTAAGACGAGCTCGAATAAGTTATCGTCACCAATATCAGGCTCACAATTTACATGTGCCAAGCAATGCGCGTTTATCTCGAAGCCGTGTTCGTAGAAACGTTTGCATACACGATCGTCATTAAGGTTATCGTTCGCATCTACCATCGTGCTTCCACGGCTCCCCGTCCTAATTACTTTTTAACGCCGGCTATAAAAGGAAGTAAGCCGCCCCGGTCGAGAGCTTCTCGAAGTGGTATAATCGTAAAACCGGTCGTCCGGGCCGCTGTAATTAAGACGGCACGCGTGGGCGTGCAAAACGCCGCTCTCGTCATCTTCACCGATTTACTTTTTATTTCACTAATACTTCCCATCCTTTTGCTTAGACCCCTTACACGTCTTGTAACGGCCGGGATCACATCGAATTAGAGGCAGATCCTCACAAAATTTACATTCTCTTGCTCTACACTCGCTTTAATACTGAAATATTATACTATGTTTATTTTAATTATTATTTTCTATTTTTTTGTCAAGATAGATTTTATCGAAAAAAATTATGGATACACTCAAAATTGTGAACACTCTTAGAATATTTACTGAATAATTTTGGAATGTTTTTTTTACCCAAATGACAATATTTATTTTATTTATAATTTTTTATTTTTTATTCAAGCTATATTTTATTGAAAAAAATTGTGGATACTCTCAAAATTGTGAACACTCTTATAGAATATTTACTGAATAATTTTGGAATGTTTTTTTACCCCATTCACAATGTTTTATTTTATTTATAATTAATTTTCTATTTTTCCTATGCGAGTAACATTTATAATTGTTGCTATATTTTATTGTAAAAAATTGTGAATATTCTCAGAATATTTACTGAATAATTTTGCAATGTTTTTTTACCCCCCAATGATAATGTTTATTTTATTTATAATTTTCTATTTTTCCTATGTGAGTCATTTTTATAATTGTTGCTAGATTTTATTGTACAAAATTGTGAATATTTTCAGAATATTTACTAAATAATATTGGAATGTTTTTTTACCCCCCAATGACCATTTTATTTATAATTAATCTCCCAGAAGATTTAAGTGCTTTGCAATATCGAAAATAAAAAATTGAAGAGAAAGTGCAAGTTGAGACTATCACATCCCCCCCTCTGCCCTTCATCATCCCCCCTCCTCGATCCCTTTATCATCCTTTCGACGTCGCTTAAGTGTTAAATTACTTTTAACCGACGGGACGTGCGTATAATAATCTGCACGAGGCGAGGAACGAAGACGAAAAACTTAAATTGCTATTTAAACGGTAAACTTCTAAGAAACAGCCTACAAGAGAAATTAAAACCTCACAGCCCATACAAAAATACATCCAAATAAAAAAAAACCCATGAACCATAAACACTGTAAATTTCGATAAAAAATACGTCTTAAAACTAGAAAAGAGAGATTCTTATCGGAATGATAAACTTTGATCTGGTTGTCCTAAATTACTGTCGAGACCAAGTAACGCTTTATTTCCTCCTCTGTAGTTTCGTGGGTCGATCAATCGGTACGCCCGCGATTCTTATGCAATTGCAAGGGCATTAGATGACACTATAACAGGCCATTAAAACGCGTTGGTTGCACTCGCGATACCCAGCTTCGTTTTTCCTTGACTTCCCACGCGAACGTCGATGCTGGACGATCTTCCGACTCCTCCGCGCGGTCTGGCGTTCACCTTCGTGGAAGGAAAGGAGGCGTTCGATAACTCCAGCAGACGCGTCACCCTTGACCCGGAATATAAACGATAATAACGTGTTCCGTTTCTACGTCGCGATTCAAATGAAGAAGATTAGAAGATTGAGGGATTATCTCGTGATAAGCGAACGAACACCGAGCAGAGAGACCGTCCCGCGAGCTCTTCGAGCTGCTGGTAATCTGCCATAATGGGCCGCGTGGTCGGGGACTTGAAACGATTTTGTATCTCCATGGAGCGATGCCTCGCGACACGAGGACGCGTGGGAGAACAATCGCTCTACGCGGTGACCGATCGGACCTTCCCGTTCCGAGACATTCGTTTATTCACTTTGCAACGACCTCTGGGGACCTCGATACCCATTTGGGGGCCTTACGAGCCTTTAAAATACAGAACCATGCGTTTTTTGTTGCATCCACTTTGATAGTTTCGAATTTATGTTGAATGATTGGTAGTTTGGATATTTAATTTCAATTTTGGGCCCCTCAATGCCCATATAGGGGGCCTAACAAGCTTCCAAAATACAAAATCATGTATTTTTTATTACATCCACTTTGATATTTTCCAATTTATGTTGAGAGATTGGTAGTTTAGATCTTTTAATTTTAATTACAATTTTGGGGCCCTCGATACACATATGGGGGCCTTACGAGCCTTTAAAATACGAAACCATGAGTTTTTTATTGCATCCACTTTGATATTTTCGAAATTATGTTGAAAAATTGTTAGTTTAGATCTTTTAATTTTAATTGGGCCCCTCGATACCCATATGGGGGCCTTACGAGCCTTTAAAATACAGAACCATGTATCCTTTATTGCATCCACTTTGATATTTTCGAATTTATGTTGAAAGATTGGAAGTTTAGATCTTTTAATTTCAATTTTTGGCCCCTCAATGCCCATATGGGGCCTTACAAGCTTTTAAAATACAAAATCATGTATTTTTTATTGCATCCACTTTGATATTTTCGAATTTATGTTGAAATTTTGGTAGTTTAGATCTTTTAATTTCAATTTTGGGCCCCTTAATGCCCATATATCAATGCCCAGTTGATCCACTTTGATGTTTTCAACAAAAAAGTATTGACCTATTTATGGTAAAAAATTATTAGTTTAGGAGATATTTTAATTTCAATTTTGGGGCCTCTCAATGCCCATATGGGGCCTTACAAGCCTTTAAAATACAGAACCATGTATTTTTTATTGCATCCACTTTGATATTTTCGAATTTATGTTCAAAGATTGTTAGTTTAGATCTTTTAATTTTAATTTTAATTTTGGGCCCCTCAATGCCCATATGGAGGGCCTTACAAGCTTTCAAAATATAGAACCATATATTTTGTATTGCATCCACTTTGAAATTTTCAACAAAAAAATATTGACCTATTTATTTAAAAAAATGAATAATTAAGGAGATATTTTAATTTTAATTTTGAATCACTGGACTTTGATTCTCATGTGATTCATTAAACAGTGCTTGCCCATCCTAATATCAGTTTGGTCAAAGAAAAAATGATACCGGATGTAATGAAGCCATTTTTCCTAATTTTGGTCTTCGAGGAAATAATGGCAACAAAAATGGAACCAAACTACTGTGGGAAATCCTGTGACTATGACACAGAGCCCTCTTGGGTTTCAGGGTGGTCCCTGGGAACAATCGATACGCGGGATCGATGTTACCACGAAATCAGTACGGCGAGGGTGACGTCGGTATCGATAACGAGACGAAAGGGTTAACGAACGAGAGCGATGTCTGGGTAATTGAGCAACATGCGCATCATTACACAGAGATACCACGTGAAATCTTAAGCCGACTCCACACATTCGGATAATTGCCAAGCAACGGTCGCTTGCCAACCACTTGGCTGCTCGGCAACCTGCTCGCCACGTATCCACACCGAAACAAACGCGAAACTGCAGATACGAAAGAAGAGAACGTCTCAAAACAGTCTAAAAACGCGAATTAAAAACACTAAAACTTTACACAGGTGCAATTCCGAAACTACTCAATCCTTATCAAAAATTCCACCACTGTTAGAAGGGGTGAACCCTCCCCTTTAAAATGGCTGTTGGTTTTTGACGATCCGACTTCCGGTTTCGGAGATATCGTAATTTATATGAAGAGGTAATTTTTTAAAAGCTCCGCGCTATGACGCTTCACGCGGCTAACGCGTATTGAAATTACTAAAAACTTTGATTACGCATAATTCCGAAACTATTCAATCTTTATCCAAAATTCAACGACCGTTAGCAGCGGTAAACCTTCCTCTTCAAAATTGGTTTTTCGTTTTTGATGATCTGATTTCCGGTTTCGGAGATATAGCAATTTATGTAAAAGGTAATTTTTTCAATTCGACTGTCTTTGTCTTCGTCTAACGCGTCGGACCTCTTTGTCTCTCTACGCACGTGACTCGCGACTCAGTGACGTCACGTTTACTACTTACTACGATCACGTGAGGTCAATGACCTCGCGTGGCGCGTCAATGAAATGTAAACAAACTTATATCTCCGTAACCAGCCACCGCATCGACTTGAAACTAAAATCCTCATATCTCCGAAACTAATAAAGCTATCCAGTCTCACGAACGCTCATTTTAAAGGGCATTTCACCCCCTATCAGATGACTATATCAACTATTATAATTTATGCTATCTTCCATGTTTATTTCGAAATTTACTTACACGCCATATATGTAAACAAGTTTCAACAATTCCTATCGATCATACCTAATGACCTAAAATTTGTTTACAATATATTTGCATAATTACTGTGCCATTTTCTCGAAAATAACTCTTTTCTCTGGAAGTATACACGAAGTTTACTGATAA